TGGGAATTAATCCCAAGAGAAGAGTCACATCAAGTTATTGGAACTAAATGGGTATTCAGAAATAAGCTTGATGAAGATGGAAACATAACAAAGAATAAAGCCAGACTTGTTGCAAAAGGCTATTGTCAGGAGGAAGGTATAGATTATGATGAAACTTATGCTCCTGTTGCCAGAATTTGCTAAGATAATGCAGGGAGAGTTTGAAATGTCTATGATGGGAGAATTGACATTCTTCCTTGGACTACAAATCAAGCAACTTAAAGATGGCATTTTCATCTCTCAAACCAAATACTGCAAAGAGATCCTCAAAAAGTTTGGTATGGACACCTCCAAGGAAGCTAACACACCCATGGGAACTTCATGCTATCTAGATAAGGATGAATCAGGTTTGGAAGTTAATCAAACTATGTATAGAGGTATGATAGGATCACTATTATACTTAACTGCAAGTAGACACGATATTATGCATTCTGTCCGTGTGTGTGCTAGATTTCGGGCTTGTCCTAAAGAATCTCATCTAATTGCAGTAAAACATATTTTAAAATATTTAAAAGGAACTACTGATTTTGGTTTGTGGTATCCGTCTGATGCTTGTATGAGTTTAATAGGATATTCCGATGCTTGATTATGGTGGATGTAAAATTGATAGAAAAAGCACTAGTGGGACATGTCATTTGCTAGGTTCATCCTTAATATCTTGGCATTCTAAGAAACAGGCATGTGTTGCTTTATCTACCACTGAAGCTGAATATATTGCAGCTGGTAGTTGTTGTGCTCAAATTCTGTGGATGAAACAACAATTAGAAGATTATAATATCTTTTTAGATGACATACCTTTGATGTGTGATAATACGAGTGCAATTAATTTAACTAAGAATCCAGTAATGCACTCTAGGACTAAACACATAGAAATTAGGCATCACTTTTTAAGAGATCATATCAGCAAAGGAAACTGTAAAATAGAGTATGTTGATACAAAGCATCAATTAACATATATTTTTACTAAGCCTCTACCCAAGGATAGATTTTATGATCTTAGAAGAGACTTAGGAATATTAGACATTGCCTAAATTCTGCTTAAATAAACAACTTTTGCATGATTGTAATGTTATATATCTCTTTGTCTGTAATGACGTTTCTTTATGAAATAAAATATGATGTTTCTTTCATGCTATGATTAAGGGGGAGCTTTCTCTAAATTATGCATATTTTGAGGGGGAGATCTAATGTTTGTTCTTTCAGAGTTCTTTTTTATTATAATCAAAATAGGGGGAGAAAAATTTAAAGCCTATATTCAATTTTAAATTTTATCTGGTATGTTTAATGTGTTTGTTAGTATGACAGATAAAACAGGTAATTGTCAAATTGTATGAAGAAACTTATATTCTTAAAAACATGGAACAAACATTTCTAATGAAATTCTTTACAATTTGGATTGTCATCTTAGTTGATTTTATTTATCAATTTCTGTTTTATCTTTGGTAATGTATTAGATTTATCTTTCAACAATTTATTTTTATTGTTCTTTACTACTTGTATAATTTACTTTAAATGTTTCAAATCATATTGGAAATAAAAATTATATATAACAAATCTTTAGTTAAAATATATTGTGTGCTAAATATTGAACGAATATTGTAAAGATGAACATGCATGATGTTTAAGTGATTTATTTCGTACAAAGATATAATTTTAATTAAATCAAACAATGAATCATTTACATTAAAAATAATAATATATCTTATTTGTTGTATAGAAAACAAAAATATACAATGATATGATAACTTAAACAATTAAGAAAAAAAACATAAATGTATTATTGTTGTATTTGAAGGAAAAATTTCAATTATGTGTATTACTGTTTTGTAACCTTAATGAATTTTTCTAACATGTCACAAATAAATATATATATATATATATATATATATATATATATATATATATTCATCATCAAATAAAAAGGTAAGAAAAAGACTTAGGTCATTAAATTTTTTTTGAAACATAATCATTCTTATATAGACTAAAAAAGTTTTTAATGGATGTTAAGAAAGTGAAATGCCATCAACACCTTAACTTGATGAGCAAGATAAATAAAAGATATCAATGTTATATATGGAAAAACAAAAAAAAATATATTAAAAAAAACATGGAAGAAAAAATATATATATCCTTTAAACTCTTATACTAGTCCAAATTATATGTTTGATATTATATAAATGTGATGTATATTGAAAAAATGTTTGTGATATTATAATTATTATGCTTTAAAACATTAAGAAAAAAATATAAGATCCTCCAAATGCTCAAATATATAATAAATCACACACTAATATATATATATATATATATATATATATATATATATATATATATATATATATATATATCATTGGAGGTGTCAAAGTATATTATGAATATTTTTTTAAAATATTAATAGTTTTTGTGTTAAGAGAATAATATCTCAATCTCATTTACTTAAAATCTTATGATTATTAATGTTCTCATGTAACAATTTTTCCTTGTGAATATTGATATTTTATAAAAAAATCTCAAAAATTATTATTAGTTTTTATATATTATTCAATGGTATTTGTTATGAAATAAATGTTGAACATTCAAGGACTTGATGTTGCAAATAATGATCATGAAGAATGTTGATTTTGATGATGATCCAAGAGCTTAAAGACTTAGAGTATTGAAGATTGAAGATTGATGATTTACGTATTGTAATAACTCTGTTTTAGTTTGATTGAGTCTGTAATTATAGAATCTAAGATAAGCTGGTACATAGTCCGTAACTTAGAAGCTTCAAAAAGCCCAAATATATCATCCAGGCTCGGCTTTAATCGATTATATAGGAAATAATCGATTAAAACAAGTGAGAAAACCATTTTCAAGTATATACTCACTGTTTTAATCGATTAAAACATCAAAATAATCGATTATTAGGTCAAATAATCGATTAAAACGTCAAATAATCGATTAAAACAGAGAGGTTTTGGGTTCTGTTTTTTGGCTCTGTTTTAATCGATTATAACTCCATTTAATCGATTATTTCGATCTGTTTTTGATTTTAAACTTCAAATTAACCCTATTTTCGAAAACCCAATTACCAAGAACCCTAGTTTCGAAATCCCCAATTTCTAAACCCTAATTTCCCTACTTAAACTCTCCTTTGGCACTCGGAATGAAGAACAACCTTTTCCATACAAAAGTTAAGTGCCTGTGAGTGCCGGAGAACTGTTTGTTGCAAGGAAAGGGGCTTTCCGAACCTGGTGTGGGCTAGAAGCGATAAGAATCACTAAGTGGATTTCTTAGTGGATTGTGTGATGTGCCGTCTCTCGGGGAAAGCTGTTCTTCGAGGGCTTTCGAACCTGGTGTGGGCTAGAAGCGATAAGAATCACTAAGTGGAGTTCTTAGTGGATTGTGTCTTGTGCCGTCTCTCGGGGAAAGTTGTTCTTCATCTCTTGTGGGTTTTAAGAGAGGTGTTATCTTTAACTTTATCTTTTCCATTGTAATTTGTTTTATAATAATTTGTTTATAGTGACAGCGTTAATCCTCTGTTTGAGTGATTAGCAACTGGACGTAGGGTCTTTTGATCCGAACCAGTATAAATCTCCTGTGTAAGATTCTCTATCTTTCTCTATTTACATTTACACAGTTTTTAATCGGTAAAATTTGGGGAAAATTTTGAAAACCTAATTTTTATTAAGAAACCAATTCACCCCCCCCTCTTGGTTTTTGTCCGACCACGCAAACATTCCGCTGCGCGATTCTAACAATAAATGTTATTAGATGAATTAAAATGATATAAGAAAAATTCATACAAGTCAATTTCCATATGAAAAATATTGTCCACTTTAGAATTTTATGTTTTATCTTTAAAAGACGTATTGATGTGTTAAGAGATAAATGCGTTTATAAATTATTTTTTATCTTGACTCTTAAGTTATATGGTACTCATGAGCGTACTAAACCATAAGTTTTTAGTCATGGACTAAGGGATATAGAGTGAAACTATACTCTTGACTTTACGGTAGACGTTAATGTTCTGTTTAGAAACGAGAGTGTCTTATCCTCCACTATGATACATTATTAAAATTAATTCTTACATCTAATGCATGTAGAAATACTTATGGTCCAAAGCGAGAAGTAATTGGATTTTGTACAATATACACGTTTGAAGAAGAAGTTATAAGCTTAATAAAGCTATATCAAATATATGAAATTCTTGAATGATTGAAAAATGGTTATTAAAAGAGTATAATTTATTTTAATGATTTAAAGTGAGAATGATTGAAGAAGATTGTGATAAAACAACCTCCCTTTGTTACTAATCAATCTAGGCTTGAGTTTGATGTTTGATATTATATAGTTATAGGAAACTGACCCAAAAGTATTTTAAGCCTTTTGAAGAAGTTTCTCATTCTCATTTTGAGGAGTGTTGAAAAATGATTGTCTTTCTATTACTTTTTATATTTTTTCACTTCATAATTTTTTTTCTTCAAACCAACTAATTTTTCAGAATTATAATTTTAATTTCAGTATTTATTAATGTTGGGAAACGACTATTAAAATAAAAATACTAAAACATGGGCTAAAAAAAGAATGAAAGGAGTAGTAGAATAAATACAATCAACATCGAAATTGAAAAGGTAGAAGGTTCTAAGTGACCTAGATATTTCACTGGCTTACAAATGTCTAAGTTGTCATAATCAACTTGGTTTGACTGCATGTCTTAGGTAAACAATCAGTGTTAATTTTGCTGCAATTTAGAAACCATGCTACCATATATTGGCCACCTAATACTTTCCTCTTCGGCTAGTGCATACAATATATATATATATATATATATATATATATATATATATATATATATATATATATATATATATATATATATATGCACTGCATTTTGTGTACAACTTTTGTAAATTGAGAGCACCATTTTCCTGAGTAGCTCTTCAATAATCAATTTCAAGGCAGTGTCCTCCATGACCATGACCAAGACCAAGAGAGTCCTCACACTTTTCCTGAGGTTCCTTGCCATTGGAGCAACATTAGCAGCAGTGATCGTTATGGTGACAAGCCATGACTCTTCTCAGGTCCTCAACCTAACCTTCACTGCCAAATATAGCAACGAGCAAGCATTCAAGTAAGATCCCCCCCTTCCTTTTTCTGAATAGAACATGTAAAAATCATTAGTTTTTATACAATAACAAGAACAAAATTTGAATCTAGAAACTTGTGTAAACAATCCAAACTTTCTAGTATTAAACTGACTATAGTGGGTTATCTCAACTTAGAACAAGCACTATAAATTTACTTCCATTGACTTGGTCCTATTCTTTTCTGAATATTTGCTATATGTAGGTTCTTTGTGATAGCAGAAGCCATAGCATGTGGATACAGCCTAATTCTCCTCCTCACATTTTCCCAAACTTCACTTTGGCGTTTGGTTCTGATCCTGGATGTGGTAGTGTTGTATATCAGCAACCATTAGTCTAACTTCTGATTGAACTTCTGTGAGTCCTTATAAAAATTAACACATCATTTTGGCGTACCCATGTTTTGATCAGGTGATAGCAATGCTACTCTCTTCAAGCGTGTCAGCAGCAGTGGCAATAGCTCATGTGGGCAAGAAAGGGAACACTCATGCTGGTTGGTTACCCATTTGTGGACAAGTTCCTAAATTTTGTAACCATGTCACTGGAGCTCTTGTTGCTGGTTTCTCAGCAGCTATAATATACTTCCTACTTATTTTTTCTTCTCTTTACTCTGTTCAGAACACCCTCTTTCTGTAAAGCTAGAAACGGATCCATCACCACTCAATTGTTTTCTTGTTTCTACATATCTACCATCTTCCCGTTCTAGTGCTAGTCCCTTTACCCTTCTTGGACTCATTTATTAATTCATAGATTGATGAATCAATATCAATGCACTGATCAATGTTAATTGTGTTCTCAATTTTATAACTGATCATAGATATGTCGATCAACTACCAAAGTGTTTGGTTTCTATTATCTAAATTTGTTTCTACCGTATTTTAATTAAAATTCAACTCCACACTTTGATTTATGACAAAAAGTTGTTGATTTCTTCTGGAATTTGAAATCATTGGTTAAACTAAATTAAGGTAGTTGATGGAGGGAAAAGAAGGGGGAAGAAAATCTGCAGAATACGAAGCAGTGATCAGTGCAGGCCCGCATCTGAAACGCCTCCAACAGGCGCACGCTCACCTGGTGGTGACGGGCTGTCACCGGAGCCGTGCTCTGCTGACGAAGCTGCTCACGCTATCGTGCGCCGCGGGTTCCATCGCCTACACTCGCCGCCTGTTCCGCTCCTTTTCCGACCCAGATTCTTTCCTCTTCAATTCCCTCATCAAAGCCTCTTCAAAATTCGGTTTTTCTCACGATACCGTTTTCTTCTACCGTCGCATGCTCCATTCTCGCATTGCCCCTTCCACCTATACCTTCACTTCCGTCATCAAGGCCTGCGCCGATATCTCCGATATCCGACTCGGCGCGATTGTCCATTCCCACGTTTTTGTTTCTGGGTATGTCGCAGATTCCTTCGTCCAAGCCGCATTGGTCACGTTCTACGCGAAATCATGCATCCCTCATGTTGCGCGGAAGGTGTTCGACGAAATGCCCCAGAAAAGTACAGTTGCTTGGAACTCCATGATTTCGGGGTACGGGCAGAATGGTCTTGCCCGTGAGGCTGTTGAGGTTTATAACATGATGCGTGAATCCGGGGTCCAGCCTGATTCTGGGACATTCGTTTCGGTATTATCTGCTTGCTCTCAACTGGGGTCGCTTCATTTGGGGTGTTGGCTGCATGAGTGCATTGTGGGGAGTGGAATTACAATGAACGTTGTTCTTGCTACCTCGTTGGTGAACATGTTTTCGCGGTGCGGTGACGTTGGAAGAGCACGTGCGGTTTTTGATTCGATGAACGAGGGGAATGTTGTTTCGTGGACGGCTATGATATCCGGGTACGGGATGCATGGTTATGGTGTTGAGGCAATGGAGGTTTTTCGTCGAATGAGGGAACGAGGGGTGGTGCCTAACACTGTAACTTTTGTTGCTGTGTTATCTGCATGTGCGCATGCAGGGTTAATTGATGAAGGGCGTGTAGTATTTGCAAGCATGAAGCAAGACTATGGTGTGGTGCCGAGCGTGGAGCACCACGTTTGTATGGTTGATATGTTTGGACGAGGTGGGTTGCTCAATGAAGCATACAAGTTTGTTAAAGGACTTCGACCTAAGGAGCTTGTTCCGGCGGTGTGGACGGCGATGCTTGGAGCTTGCAAAATGCATAAGAATTTTGATATTGGGGTGGAGGTTGCTGAGCATCTCATCAATGCGGAGCCAGAGAATCCTGGTCATTATGTGTTGCTATCTAACATGTATGCATTGGCTGGGAGAATGGATAGGGTGGAATCCGTTAGGAATGTGATGATCCAAAGAGGCCTTAAGAAGCAAGTGGGTTATAGCACCATAGACGTAGATAACAGGAGTTATCTTTTTAGCATGGGTGACAAGTCTCACCCTGAGACCAATGAAATTTATCGTTACTTGGATGAGTTGATGTGGAAGTGCAAGGATGCGGGCTATGCACCTGCACCTGAGTTGGCGATGCACGAGTTGGAAGACGAAGAAAGGGAGTATGCCCTCAGATACCACAGTGAGAAGCTTGCAGTGGCCTTTGGGCTGATGAAAACTGGTCATGGAGTGACACTAAGGGTTGTCAAGAACCTTCGGATATGTGAAGACTGTCATTCAGCAATTAAGTTCATATCTGTTGTAACGAATAGAGAGATAATTGTTCGGGATAAGCTTCGTTTCCATCATTTTAGAGAAGGCTCGTGTTCTTGTTTAGATTATTGGTGATGGAATTTAAACCTGCCTATTAGTTTGATTATGTATACAGCTGAAGATAACATTGGGAGAGGTATGGCTAGGTAACTTGGAGAGATTTATTGGTTTTTTAAAAAGTTATTACTGGTAATAATTTTATTCTTATAAATTTATCGTGCGTGATGTGAAGACATTAAAGTCTGGAAGTATTATACATGAATCAAGACAAATAGAGAAAAAATATTGAATATTTTCTAGAAATTGTAATATGTCGTATAAAAAAACAATCAATATCTTCTAAATGATGTTTTATTTTAAAGATCAGATGAAGTATTTAATAGCAATAGATTCAAACAAAATATAAAGAATTCACAATTAACAAAAAGTTTATCTCTATACTGGAGAGAGATAAACACAATTTACATGTAGGTGGTGAATGTTCCATATAAATTCACTATATCAATTTTTTTTTCTCCCATTTTTTATCTTTTCATAATTTCTTATTTATGTCACAAACCAAGAAGATTATCTCAAACAACAATAGCTACCAAATGATTCTTAAGTCTCCAACTCTTCTTTAACATGTCATAAACCATCACTAAGTCTTTATTAAATAGATGGAAAGAAAACAAAAGCAAATCACTCCAATAGTTGTATTTCTTATTCCATTATTTACTTCTACAAGCCATGTTGTAATAATACATACACATATCACAAGCACAAGTATGATACTGTTTATCTTTTCATCAACAATACCGTTGTAGTAAACCACAAGGTTGGAATTGATACTATACAGACATATAGATATTACACATAAGATTGGAATATCTCGGTCGGGATTTTTGGTAGTTACTTACAACTTTGTCAGTAAAGTCACTTTTGTAACTCAACAAACTGACTGCAATCAATTCCTTTATCACAAAATGCTTCTACAAGCTTTGGGAAGAGCTTAGCAAGCATAATTTTAAAACCTGCTGAAGTTCCCTTATGGTCTTCACGTTCAGTTTTTCCACTACCAAAAGCGCATCCAATGGAAGCTCCTTCAATATATGCCTTACGAGCAAGAAGTATATGTTGGGAACGGCTTCTAAAGTGCTCTTCCACCAGTGCTTCAAAATGCTGCATTAGGCATCATTGTCAGTTGCAAATCCAATCATATAATTACATTCAAAGATTCAGATGGACCCCCTTTTTGCACCATAATCTAGGAACTGGTCTATGTACAGAATCCAAACCCTGGAAACCTCATTGAAACTTAGTGGAATAAATCTAATAGTGAAAGTGAAAACCTACAGAAACTTAAGGCCGTGCTGGGAAGTATGAATAATTGGAAACTATGGATGGGCACAACAGCTATTCTGATCCCCTTGGATATAGTGAAACATATCTTTGACCAATTCATCAATTTTATTGTTAAAATGAGGCTTCTCTTTCAGAGAAGTTATATATTTGTTTAAATATGCACCAGATCTAGTTTATGATATAACAGAGTCGTATGCCTGTGTTCCATGACACACATTACTGGCAGGTTGTACACTAGTTGTCACTTAAACGAATGGTCAACATATAACTAATTGGAGATATCACTCTAAATTAAAGTCTATTTTTCCCATATCATCACATCACTTAATACATCGAAAAAATAGAGAAAAACCAAAGCATGGAAGTAGTAATTTTACCTTTGGTGGCTTTCTTAATAGATACATCATCGATTTGGTTGTGACAAGGAAAGCATTTTCATTGTAACTGACTGAGTTTTTCTCTCCCTCAGCCCTGCCAATTTGTTGGTCATATCCAGCCTCATTGAAATAAGGCTTCTCATTAAGGACAAGAGCCTGTAGAGAGAGAAGGACTTGGAGAATTGTGGAGGCTCCAGGGTTCCACACTTCTGTGCCGGTGCCTGTCCAAGTGTTAAGGAGACTCAGACAGATTTTTCCTGACTCGTACAAATTAGGATTTAATCGGAGCCCTCCAGAATTGTAGTGCACCATCTGCATGGGATTTCAAGAGACCGTGATGGAAATATATGAGTTAGTTCAAATATAAACATTGAGTATGAGATCTTTGAACATGAGCTGTTAAAATTAAATTTTCTACAAAATGTATGAAGCTGAACAAAACTTCTCATTTCAATGAAGATGACCTCAATAAACAAGGGTTCTGATGCATGAATCACAATAGAAAATAATTAACAAGCACTGTAAACTATATTTAAAGGCTTACAGGTGGTTCATTGGGATACTCCGGAGGGAAGCATATATCAAAAAAGAACAACCCCTCATGATAAGGGGTTCCTGATGCACCCACAATAGCTGCTCGCATGAGATCCATTCTTTCTTCGAACCCACGAACATAAATACTTTCTGTTTTGATCATCAAAGATTGTAAGTGCATTTGCCGAAATTGCTATTGGCTGTTACTGACTGTTTACAATGTACTTATACAAATATCCCTTTTCACAAGTAAATGAAATATTCAATACATGGCCTAAATTAAATTACATAATGAAGCATTATATAACAACAAAGACTGCACTGTGTATAAAAGAATGTGGTTCAAAATAAAAAAGATAAAGTATGTACCAGGAAGATTTTTCTCGAGGATGCTCCATTCTTGCTGAACCTTTTTCAGCCAACCTCTTTTTACCTACAAAGGAAAGAATAATAGGAACAAAATCAACAACTAAAGATGGAAAATATTTTATAGGATATTTTCCTATTTGATGTAATCAAATCATGTCATGATATAATAAAATCATATCTTTGACAGTATTTACTGTAAGTGGATCAATGTCTAACCTGTGATACTGACAACCCTTGTCCTTCACCAAAAAAATGGTGATCAGGGCAATTTTCTATCACATCAAACTGCTTGAACGGGTTTGAATTGTTGGTATCTAAAGAAAATGGAAAACCATTCTTCTCATGAGTCTTGATACTTTCGGGGAATGAACCTTTGTCTTCAGTAGATTGCAGCTCAGTCATTGAATGTTGTTCAGCACAGAGGTCACAAGTTTCCAAATGTTTCTTATCTAAAAAATCATATCCATTCTCTTTTTCAAATGTAGGTATCGCAGAAACTGCTCCTGAGAGTAGAGCTCCACTGAATGTTTGGAGTATGCTGGCTTTAATGCTGGAGAAAAGTTCAAAGGCAGCTCGAGGAAGGGAAAAAGAACTACATTCCCCAAGATTCTTTCCACTATTCTCTCTACTAACATCAGCATTTAATAGGTCCTGATCATACAATGTGATACAGCAGTTTATAATTAGGCAGCTGCATTGACTCCAAGTCAACAATTAATGTTTGAAAAATGTAATTTAGGATTATAACTGACATCTATATTTCCAATCTAAACTTTATTGAAAAAACTAAAAGAATATAAGAATTTCCGTATTGTTTTATGTTGCTATATTAACTACCTGACTTTTCACTATAATTTTCAAGCTAAGACTAGTGTCTTAAATGTTCCAATTATATAATTCATTCAAGAAATGCTACTAATGAACAAGAATAAACATAAAACACTTAGATGCACGCAGAGCTGAAAACACATAAGAAAGGGAAAAAAAAAGAAAAAAGTGGTCCTCACCTTTCCCTTCTGGTCAGAAGGTAGACTCCCATGTTCAATCATCTCTTGTGTTATCTCTTCAACAGTTGTCTCATAAGGAGTCGGGGTTACAGTTGAACCTTCATGTTTCTCAATCCGAAGAATTTCATATGGTGCAACCTGTTGGGAAAACAAAAACCATTCTTACATTACTTCCACTAGATTAAAAACTACCAATGTGTATATCATAATGGAAAACTCAAAAATAATTTTGGGTTAACTGTAAAACTAAAAAGAATAATTGGTAGCATAATTCTGTTTTAGGACTAGTTAACAGCTTGAGTGATTACCCACAAATCATTCTTTGAGCATAGTTAACCAGTTCCAGTTGATTAGTTAATAATGATCAAAGTCAAACTAAAATATATTGCCCAATTATTCCATTTTTATCATTTTGAAGTGGCCAATATTGGTGCGGTCCAACTTCCTTAAGATCATTAAATATACAAGATGTAGTATAAGTTTAGTTGTTTGGATGTTATTTATCATTACCATCAAATCCATATTTTGATTATGAACGGAAGAATTGTCACTTATATTCCAAATGAAGTAGAAAAAATCATTCTAAACTAATGTCAACTACATAACCTAGCATCTAGTAGTATACCAAGGTTTCAGCTCCGCAACACAGAGCCACATACAGCAGTAAATATCTAGATAGGACCACTAATTATCTGTCAAACTGTTCATCTAGATAATTAGATATGGCAAGCATAAATTTAATGAGTTATCCAGTACCACATTCATCTAGCAGCTGCATAAACTACGGTGTATTGAATAAAGTAAATTATATATCATACCATAGTTGTGAAACCAGTTGCCCATGTCACCTCCACATCGCCATCTTTGAAACCAGTAACATTGCCAATACAGGACATGAAATAACTATCAGGGAACTCATCCTGATAACCCATTTGGTTCCCATTTTTGGGAACAGCCTCTGCAGTCAAGTCTGTCACTGATTTTGCTTTTTCTTTATCAGCTTGGTTGCCAAGCTGTTTTTGAGCCGCCTTGAACATAATATCACCAAAAAAGCAGGAGTAGTCTGGATGCTCTACAAGTTCGTAAGCACTCACAGTTTCCTCCAATGAGTCTCCAGTCAAATTATCTGGGTTGGATATGGAAACAGTTTTCCATTGTACTTTCACTGTACGCTCCTTTGCATCCACACATTGGACAACACCCCATCTTTGACTGCTAGTTTTAAGAGGATAATCAGAAGCACCTTTTTCCAGCACGAACTGGTGAGGCCAAAATTCATGGTTATTCAAAACATTCACCGGGAGTAAATTCTCTGGATCCAATCCCAATGTATGTTCACCATTTTGCCATACAACATCAACTTTGGTCTTTATCTTCCCAATCATAAACAACTCACCAATGTTAGAGTTAAAGTTACTTCCCTTAGACTCTCTTGACACACAACGCTCCATAGTAAGATCACCTATAGGTGCATGCTGAATAACCACTTCCTTTTGGTCTGCGACTGAGAGCATGCACCAATCTCCAAGCTGCCAGTTTCCACGTGAAAAACAAGATAGCACAGTCAAGTTTTCAGAATCTTGCCAGCATGGGGGAGCACTCCCACTCAAATTGCAACCCACAAGAACGGAGGAAATCCAATTAACATACACCAAGCCTGCTTCCACATCACAAACAGTTCCTTCATCATGATTGTCCTTCCAAGTATCACATAGCCATCTAGTTGATTTTGAAACATCGGAGGACTTAACCTTTACTCTCTGCCCTGGATAGTATGGAAACTGTGAATCTTCAGGAAAATTACCATTCAGTGGTAAAATTTTCTCACTTTCCAAGGCAGTGATATCACATTTAGCTCCATCGTCAAACAATACAGTCACTTTGTCCACCACCCTTTGAGCCCGACCAAGCCATGACCCCTTAATTACATAATCACTTTCCGAAATGGAGCGAATCCTCAAAAGTTCCCTTGAATTTACATGTTTTACTACTTTTCCTTTAACACTTTCCAAATCCACAAACACATCAACACTTGTGACCCTACCCATTTGTCCAGACGGGTCTGATAAGGAGCAGACCACATCTCCATGAACAAATGCTCTCTCAAATGAAAGAAAATCATCAATCCTTCCAATGCTTTCCTCTAAACTTGATAATATACTCTTAGCTTTTCCACCAAATAGAAAATCGTCTTCCTCTTGATCCTCACTGCTGCTGCTGTCACTGGAAATCTCCCACTCTGAATCACTAATGATAGGATCCATCAATTATATGCCTGTCATAATATTTGATAGTAGGATCAACTAAACTATTCAAAGTACAATAACTTAGCATGATAACATAGCAATAGGGAAGAAAAATCTGTTAGTCCATGTGTGGGAAATCTTACCAGATTCTGAAATAAATAGAATAAGAATTGTTCTTCGCTAAATGGTATCCTGAGAAGAAAGGACACAAACTGTTAATTAAGATGTTGATTTCAATCCTATAATTTTTTTTCTTGAATGAGACCTATGCATGAAAATTAAAAAATAAACAAATTAGCAACCCATTTTCACTATTTAGATTTGTTGAAGAATATATCGGTAAATTGTACTCCAAATTTTAATATATCTGTAAATGACTATCAACAAGTAAATAAGGAGTCAAGAAGATTCTTACCTTCTCAAGAAAATTGAAGCATCAAATCCCAGTGAGTATATAGTGATGACAAAACTTATGCCAATATTGATTTCAATGGATAATTGTTGTAGTACAAAATATTTCTGATTGATACTCTTTTTAGTCACAGATAGTTTCTCCAAATGATTATCCTAAACACTGAAACTGGATGCCAAAAGAGATTTTTTCCAGGATAATACAAACCGATCTTGGTCTGTTTTATCCAATAGGAGTATAGGAATCAAGGACTCCAAAATGCCAAAGGAGATATGCCCGATTTGAATAGAATCTTCAACGAAGAAACCTTTGGACGACGCTTACAACAACAAAAATGTATAGTAGCAAAACTAGCAGATGATTTTTTTTTTTTTTTTTGGATGGTATACAGGAAGAAAAAAACTCTAGCTTGTGGAGGAAACAGACGAAGATAATCAAAAGATGCCAAAGGAGATTTTCCCCCCAAGAAAGGCTGAAGTTCCTAGTGAAATTACCTGTGAATGGTAAATTTTTTTTTTTTGACAGCTGAATGGTGATTTTTCTAAGAAGCAAAAATTGTTTTCATATATTTTTACTACTTGGAATCCAACCAAAGAAGATTAAGAAACTTTTGCCAAAGGAGATTTGCCCAGTACAGCTGAATCTTCAATCGTAAGTAACTGCGGAGAGAGAGTTTCCTGTTCCAAGAGTGAGGGTTACACTGACAAAGGAGATCTGTTTCCAGAATAATACCTGACACTCTATCAGGTCTGTCTGATATCAAAGGAAATTGGCTAATATCTAGGACCACTAAGATATCAGAGTTGCAATTAGGAATGATTTACTCATTCAACACAAACATTTTGAGCTCCTTGACTCACAGCAAAAGGGAAAATTCAGGACACAATTGCCATTGGCAAAAGTGCTTCTGTACCTGATCATTTCTTTTGAACCTGCAATAAAATGACTAGTGAGTACTTTTTCTAACCTTCTACGATATGAAAAGAAAATGAAAATAACAAAAGAATGAGAAATCAGATAGCAAAGCAGACTATTTTAAACTGTAGCATAATAGTTCAGGAGCCAAGAGGAAAAACCAGGATTGAGATTAAAACAGAGAATTGCTTTCAATAAATAAATATGTTTAGTTGCGCATCAAAGAAGCAGAATCTAAATGCATTGAAAAATGAGAATTACCAAACTTTGTAAGGAAAAACCATTGCGCACAACTCATGGTCATCTTTCACCTCAAACTTCATAATAATAATAAAAATAATCCCCACCGCCTCTAGTTGGCTTTGAAAAAGACAGAAAAAGGAAAAGTGGCATAACTTATCCATAAAAAAACAATAATATTGTATAATCCCAGAAACCAAATAGAATTTGCTATCGTCAAATTGAACGAAATAGAGCATCTAACGTATCTATGCTTCGTAGAAATCAACCTTACTTAACCTGGCACATTAGAATGACTTTACAAAAGAAAGTAATAATCTATTAACTTCAACAAACAAGGAAATCAAAAGAAAGTGAGTAAATTAGAAGAGCAAGGTAAAGTACCTCTGCACATTTGAGATGGTTGGATCCATAAAAAGTAAAAACCCAAAAAACCTCCCATGACTATAAACACCAAATGATGGAACTCCACACAGAAGAACCAAACAAATTGAAAGTATACGCTAATTCACAAAATTTTCTTTCATCTTCAAAAAGCTGGCTTATACTCTCTTCTTCTTCTTAGCTAAGAATTTCAACCTTATTACAAGAAGGAAGAGATGAATATTATTCAGACTTTCAGATAGGCTTAGTTCCACGCCCAGTTCCACCATCCTCCACGTCACCATCGAGTTTAGGCACCATTGCCGACTGACCCACTTTCTCTCTGTAGAATGAATGCCAAGGTTTGGTGAAAGATGAGAACTTGGGTGTATTAGTGTAACAAATGGAGACTTTTTGTTACATATAAATAGTGTGTGTGACTATTGAACCAACTAACTGAAAAGAATATACCAGATAGTATCCGACACAAGATACTACGAAAAGACAGTTACTGTGAAATTACCTGCTTGCCCTCACTCCATGTCTCACCCAAGTTAAGACTTTGAAGCTACGAGGAAACCGACAGTAAATTTGGGGAATTTCCTATGATTCTTATGTGTCTGTCCCCTTCTTTTCCTTCGTTTTTGCTGCTGTTTCCCAGATGAATTATTGAAATTTGAAACCTAATTGACTTAACCAAAGATTTGATATCACCAAGTTACAATTTGGTGCGAGTCATATCAAACCATACTTCAGAGATTCTGTGTTGTGGCCTTTTATTTTGATATTGGTTTAATGGTATATTCAATTATTATTATACTTTTTATAAATCAGGATCAGCAAATTAAACCGGTAAAGAAGATGGTTGAAGTTTGACCTAACAGTAAATGATTTTTAATATAACAATCTAAATAATGTTAAACAAGTTAAAAATAATATTATATTTATAATTTTATGATATTAAAAATCATACCTTACTCATAAATGTAATAAGTGGTGACTTATAATATATATACTATTTTCGAATACATAAATCTAATATTCAAATTCAAGATCACACAAGGCAAATATTATAAAGAACAATACTAAAACCATATTACTCACCTTCTCAAAAGTTAACTAACAAAATTAGATAGACATGAGAAAAATGAAACACTTACTGTTTGTTGAAGCATTAAATAATTAAATAACTTGCTATGTTAATTAATGGAGTGTAGTACTTCAGTTCTTTTTGTTCAAACAATGTTAACAACACTTGTCAAAAGGTAACTCCAAGTGTTTTAAAGCCAAGATAGAGCCATTGTGCAGTCTTTTATATGCTTTAGTGATAAAAGCACTGATATATAGCAATTTCTAGTGATTAAGCAAGGATATCTCAAGTTTATTCTCCTGCATATTCTTATCATGTTACCTTTCTAGCCAAAACCAAAGAATATCCTTGATGCTTCAAAACTGAGTGGAATGATTTTACATCAAAATGCAGCATTTGCATGATCTAAAGACAAAGGGACAATCTGTTAAGAATGTTTGCAGAGACAAGTGAGTGAATCAATCTTTTCTTCCTATTAATGGACAGAATATGCTACATAATGTCCTTGACAGAAACAAAAAGGATATTAAAAGCCAATCAGCGAGGTTGTGTTGTGTAGTAATATAAACTGAACCACAAAACTAGAAGACTATTTCTTCTCCTAGTTGCCAATATTTAAAGAATGTGACTTAAGCACTAAGACACTGTCTAGTTGGAAAAGTAGAACAGGCCACTAATTGAAAATGACCAACTCCTAACAACTTTTCTCTCTTCCCATGGCTACATGGAATTTTAAACCTTCTCTTTTTTTCTTTTCATTCAGTGGATTCCAGGTTGATAGTGCTTTTCGTACTTTGTTATATGTTATGCATATGCATGCACAAGATTTGATTCCAAATTTCAGTGACCTTTGATGATTGCTAGGTGACCATGTTATGGAATGATATGAAGGTTCTTCTTCTACATTTAGCAATTCTAGAAAAAGTTTTGAACTTCTGATTTTACTGGCATAGCCCATTTGTTTGTGCTAACCTTTTCTGGTTCAATCCCTGCCCTTTATTGCCTTACTTTTCATGTTCAACAGACAAGGCAGAAAACTCACTAACTTCTTGGTTAAACCAAAGGCCAATAAGAAATTCACCACAAGAACTTTTTGCTTCTATTTACAAGTTTCTGAGGATCATAACAAAACAATTATGCTCATACGCACTAAGTACATGCATAGGTGTTGGTTTAGGGATAAACTTGATTCATTTACTTCTTATTGTTTATAGAAAAGTTATTTACACATTATCTTATAATCTCAATGGTAATTAGTCAAAGGTGAGAAATTAGAAAAGCCTTCATAAAATTATGGTGGGGTATCTCTAGATTTTTTGGTCAGTAAGAACACTTAACTATTCAAACATGACACAGCCACGTTAGGCAGAACATTGGATGATTAATTGCAACTTTTATCTGACCCACTTTGATTCATATGTCATTAGTCATAAGAAACAAACTTGTATAAATATGATCATGGATCTACAGTATTTGCTGATGATGCTAATGCTTTGTTTATTTTTTCCAATTTGGATCTGCCACAATAAATTATTTACATAGTGGATGGTTTGCATTACCAATACTGAGGCCAATCTTCACAAGTGCAAGTAAAAATAACATCAAAAATCTCTCACGCTACCAATTCGAATATTCACAAATATTCTGTGTCATATTGAATTAGGTGAATGCAATATAATTCACACGAAAATATGGTATTTTTATCTTCTAAAAATAAATAGAAACTTTTTTTAACCCAATATCTTAGCACACGAGTGAACAATAGTCCTGTATTTCCTACGTGGGGATTATGTTTATGATGAAACTTAACAACACTTTGTGACACGATCCTATGAGAGTTATGTGTCCGTGTTCCAAAGACACTTTCCTCTTTCAAAATTCATAACATGTCACTTTAAATAAGGATATTATTAAATTGGTCTAAAAATAAATAATCTTTTTATATATAGTTAATATTATTCATTTTTATTTCACGCAATAAAAAATATTATTAAATCTTTTTAAAATAAATAAAAGAATTATTTTTCTATATATTTTAAATTATATTATTTTATAAAAAATATTTTAAATATTATTGAATAGATTTTTTTTATATACACTTAATATTATTCATTTTTATCTGATGTAGAATTGCAATTAAAAATATTATTAAATTTTATAAAAAATAAATAAAAACATTCTACTTAAGTATCCCCTGTATATTATTGCTCACACATGTAAGGTGAAAGACTCTAATTGTTAGATTCTGTCATTCATGGAAAATGATATTACCTCATTTTCAAAAACAATTTTAATCATATAAAAGAAATTCAAGATGTTAATTTCGTCATCTTTTATTAAAAAAAAATCAAAATCTTACTTTCTTTTTCTTATTCTAAATTGTTTTAAAAATAATATATTCATCATTGTTTTTTAATACATTGGTAAAATTTTAAACTACAGTGAAACTGATGAAGATAATATGAAATTATTCTACTTTCCAATAGTGTACACCTGAAATGCATAATCAAAGGTCACAAAAGTGCTTCCACACGTTTTAAATTGACAACGTTAATGCTTGTGTAGGAAAACGTCACTGAAAGTGCTTCCCAAATCATGCTTATCCTCAACCTTTTCACCAATACCTTATTTTTTAATTAACCAGAGGAAAATATTGGAGTAATTAAAGAGTTTAATTTTTATGTACTATGTTTTATTATTTATTCTTTGAGAGCACTTGATTTGATATATTGACCATTTTTTAGGTATTTATTTATGTATTTTAATTTAACTTTTTATTCATATTTTTTATTTTAATGGAATTTAATTCACTAACTTATGCATTTAGGTTTTAATTTCTAATATTATGCTAAAAATATTAGTATTTTATTATTAATATGATTATTTTTATCATTTTTTGTTGTTGTCTTCATATATTTTTGCAAGTTCAGAAAAAATATTTTCGTTACATACTTTATATTTTAAGTTATTATTATTTTTTTCATAATAATATGAGAGTCAATAGTTTATATGATTACCAGCTCAATTAAGTAAGATTAAGAATAGGTGAAAAATTCTATATTATTTGATTCTTGCGTTGTAAGTCTTTTTGACATGAACTTCATACAAACAATCTTGTTGAGTTGAACGACAGTATAACTAAGATTACTACTAGATATTTATAGTTAAAAAATGTTTGCGCTCTAGGAGGATGGTGTATCAATATGAAAAATAATCACATTTGAGAAGAAAATTGTTGAAAATTCAAATGTATTTAAAGTTCCACAATAGATTAAAATAAAAAAGTTAAGTAAGTTTTGGATCAAAAATTATGTCTTATTCTCTTATACGATAGGATAGTTGCGAATTCTATTTATAAAAATTTATAAGCTCCCAGACGTCCCTTACAAAATAGCTACGAAAATGTTTGATATTTTCAAGATAAACTATTTCCTCAATCAACAGTTGAGTAATTGAGTCATCCTTCCATAATACCAACTTTCAGTTAATTATAGCAGTGTGGTGAAAATGAACGTATGTGATTTCATGAGCACTTTCTGAATTGTAAACAACAAAACAAAACCATGTGTAGCACTATGCAAGGCTGAGAAGAAACGAAATGTCTGCATCAACTTCCGCAAAACCTATTTGTAATAATTAAATGAGATTGTTAATTAGGAGAATAGTTTAGTGATTGAGCATTGAAGAAGATCTTTGGTCAAACTGGAATTATTGAGAGGAACTATACAATAGCAGTAATAACCAGTGCAAGAGAGTGTAACATGCTATTCAAGTATTCATGAACAATAATATATAGTCTAGTTATTATAACTTTCACTTCAAATATTAACTTAATGAAATAAGATTAAAAACTCAATAACCCTACTTTGTGATGGTGGCCCATGTTTGCTTTATATAGATTTTGGACAAGGTTGAGTGATACAAGTCTAATCAAAACCCACCAAACTCCATCAAAGTGAAAGATATCTGCAGATGGTGCATGCACAGTGAAAACAAAATAATGGTCCCATGAAACAGCAAATTCATTGAAACGTGCTAGTAAACCAGATAACAGCAAAGTTTAATAATGTTATATAACCTAAAGTGGCAACGAGTGGAGTAGCTGTTGCAACAAATAATTTATTGCAAGAATCATAATCAAAACCAAAGTGGAAGCGGCGGCGATGCTTCACAATTTAGCAACTCCTAATTGTATATGGTGTTAGAAAGTGAGTCCACTTACAACCACTTTGTTTAACCCTAGCAACACACAAAAGTTATCATCAGTTGGAACTTGAAAATGAAAATAGAACAGAAAAATCTACCAATTGAATGTTTATATGAAAAGCAAGAAACTTCAAGAAATTAAGAACTTACAAGACAATGTGTTTAGACAAGCATCGGGTGGGAAGCATGAATGTTGATTGTTCTTCATTCATTTCCTTTTGCATTAATTACATTTTTAAGTATTTAGGAATGAATTAGGTGAGAGAATTTTTAAAATTAAGGTTTGCAAAAAAAATGATTATTTTACTTCCTTAATTTATTTTATTTTGTCTTCGTTGAGAAATTAATTTAATTAATTCAAAACTCTTTATTAATTAAAGGGTAATAACTAAATCCGAAACATTTATCATGCATGTATTGACGCAATTGGTTAAATTCATCACTGGCTTTTTCATTGAAATGGGTTAGAAAAAATTCAATTTTTATAAAATGGGTCAAATTTTTAAAATTTACTAAAGAGGATAAATTGTGTTACATTAAATAAATCATATACCATAAAACCATAAAGAAATCATATAACATACAATCTCACTCATTAACACGTAAAGTCCATCAAATATATCCTAAATTGGTACCAAAATTGGATCTAAGATAGCCGGAAACAAAAGGTTCGTATGAGAAAACATAAGTAAATAAGTTTCTCCTTCAGCTTCCAAAGATAAAGACACATGAATCGTCATTAAAATTTGTATTGAATCCCTTACAAATTAAGGGATAAAAAAAATATACGTTTCTCTACTAAAATGGATTGAAATGTCTCTATACCTAATTTATATAAAGTAGACGCTCTATTTAGCAATACGGGATGTCCCTTCTTAAAAGATTTCTCATACAATCTATTTACGTGTTAAAAAAATCAAAATCGTGTTTTGTGTAATGTATTTAATGTTATTTTTTTTTATATCAAAATCGTGTTTTTTGTATTTAATGTTATTTTTTATATATATAAAATTAAAGTAATACGATTTTAGTTATATTCATACATAACATGATTTTAATTTTATTTTTTAAAATAATTAAATTAATTTTATTAAATAAATATATTATTTAAAATTAATAATTTATTTATTATTATATATTTATATTATAAAATATTAAATTTTTAAATTTAAATTATGTTATATTATTTATTTTAAAATTAATAATATATATTTATATAGTTTTTTATAATTAAATTAAGTTTTTGAGATAAATATATTATTTAAAAAATTATAATTTATTTATTTTTTTATATAAATATATTTTATATATATTTTAGAAGTTATAAAATATTATATTATTTATTTATTTATATTATTTATTTATTTATATTAATTATTATTTTATATAAGTAGTATATAAATAATAAAGGTAATATATATATATATATATATACAATAATAATATTATTATTATTATTATAAAAGTAAATAATATATATTTTAAATGATATATGTATTTAAAATATTATATTATTTATTTTATATTATTTTTTAAATAATATATTTATCTAAATAATATTTATTATTAATTTTGAAATAAATAATATAATATAATTTGAATTTATTAATTTAATATTTTATAATATAAATATATAATAGTTTTATATAAAAAAAATTACGTTGAGTACGTACAAAAAACACGTTAAGCACGGTTTTTTTATCACTAATCGTTTTACGTTACATGATTCTTTTATTTTAAATTGTATAACGTAACACGATTTAATCCCCTCTGATAAATTAAAAAAAAATGACTCAGGAAAATTAAAATTTTTTTAATCCACTTTGGTGAAAAAGCCTTCTTATGTCTTAGTAAAAGTTAAAAAAAAAAAACAAAAAAAAAAAACTAAAACCTGACTTAAATATCTTGTGCATGCATAATGATAAGAGTACAATTTTATTTGCAACTAATATATTGTAATTTTCTTAAGAAGTTATCATTACATACTTTTTATGTTTAAATACTCTCTTATTATTTTATTTTTTTTACCTAAACAATTCGCTAAGATCAAACTTTATATTTTTATAACAAATCCCTAACTTCAAAATTTATTTGTTAAAAAACAAAATAAATAAAGCTCTCAGCTTGAATTTTTTAGACAAACTTCTTAAATTAAGACAAAAGCTGAATATAATACTATAGGTGAAGTGATTATTTTTCTAATCAGATTTGAATTTTTTTTGTAAATAAAATATCTCATTAGATGTCACCATCAATCATAGAAACACCACAAATCTAACAACAAAAAACCCAAGAACAATTTGAACATTTTCACTACATTTTGCACCTTTTGCAGGCCAAACACTGATTCAAATGAATTCACCCATCCGCACTAGACTGCTCCCTATAGTTTGCGTCATGATCTTTAGACCTTTCAAACCATGTTTACATGCTTTTTTATGGTCAAAAATTGGCAAAATGCATTTTTCGACCTTTGAAACCAGTTTAAGAATCAATGGATTTATGTTCAAACATCCAATTGCTACTTATAGCCTTACAAATGGGAAAAGAAAAATTGTGTAACAATCCTACAAAACCTGCCTACCAAGTGGATGGTTGACTATTTTCACCTAACAAGAATTTGCAGATGCAAATGGAGCTTATCAACAATACTCATGCTCACTAAATGCCATCCAACTATCAAAACTCACTGATACAAAGATAGCAGCAATAAGCATCAACAGCTAAGTGGGGTAGGTAAGTTCTTTCTATGCAGAAGCTGCAACCTTTTCCTGTTCTTTCTTAGCGGGTTTTGAAGGCTTTTCAGTTAATACAACTTGAGGTTTCTCAATTCCTTGAATATCAGTTATCCTTAACTTTGTCAACTCCTGAAGATGATAATCATTCATCAAGTAGAATCAGTATAAATAAACTTACATGAAAATTACACGTGATTAAGTAATTGCTTTTCAACACACCTGACGATGCCCTTTCGTTCTTCGGTAATTCTTTCTTCTCTTTTTCTTAAAAATAATCACCTTTGCATCTAGTGCCTGTTACAAAGGAAAAATGAGCACAAATGCAAGTGTACATAGAAAGAAAAACAGAAATATATTGGTCAGGAAAACCAAAAAAATTTCTTTATTACATCACAGAGAAATCAAAAGAGCTCTACTAGAAACATCACAATTATAATACATGTACGCTGATAACAGAGGAACAGTAGCGAAGGGATCTAGCAGGAAAGGGGGAAGCACACACAGACCATGATAAAAGGATTTCATAATGAGCAACATCATTCAACCATTTAAAAAACAAAGCACAAGGAGATATTTTATACTCATATTCCAAAATTCTATTTCAATTGAATCCTCAAGCCCACCGAAGTAAAAATCAACTTTAATTCCTTCAGTTGACAAAAAAGAATCCTAAAAAGAGAAGCTGATAAAAATGCCTTAAGAAAATGATTTCCATTTTCACTTTCCATTTTTATTTTCCGAAAAATAGTTTTAATTATCATCCTTCCAAAAATATTAAATTTAAAAATCAGACTGATCTACATGTTTCCAAATCAATTGTTTGAGCAAGCTTTCTCAAAAGGGTCAGATTCTTCTATCCGAGACTCAATTCTTTTGAGAAACATATCACAGGAACCTTGGTTTTTCTTTGTTTTTCTCTTTTATAAGCTTGTCTTTCCTTTTCTGTTGCCTCAAACTCTTATTTTCTGCTCTTGTCTTCCACCTGTGCTTATCTCTTTTCCAGTTTGTGCTATCATAGCTACTAATACTGTCTAATCTATTTCAAATTTTCTGTAGTTTAAGAAAATTAAAATAGAACTTTACGAATTGTGGCAACCTTTCTGCCTTTCCACCACGAGTTTGGCCTGAATCTTTTTCAAACTTCCAGAACAACTTTTCCATCATTCAACAAGTGTTTAGTACCAAAAATCATTATGATCAATATGTGTGAGCTTTTTACTATGCATCATGAGGCATATATTCTCCTAAAGCACCAAGATTTTCCCTTTGCCTGTGCTCCTACCTTTGGAGTGGATGGGTGTGAAGGATGAAAATGGTATTATGAGAGATGGTTTTAAGGTTGAAGAATTGAATCTTGTTAGGTTGAGAATTGGTGCAACAACAAAGGTGGAGAGGTACCAGCAGTACTCAGAACTCAAGCCATTGAGATGTCAAATAGGAGCATGATAGGAAAACACTGATAACCACTTTTTTTGTTTTTAGATTTGGGCCTACTTCCAGCATCATTTTCTAAAAATATTTTTTAAAGTTCATCAAAACATAATAACATTACTTTCAGTTTGCTTTGAAATGAAAAGAGAATATGGACAAAATAAATAGCTCTAAGAGACCCTCCTTACAAAACATAAGTGCAATATATAATTCCTTTTTAATTTTGTCAACCATGGGAAATTATGTAATGTAGTCAAAATTCTCAGTTCTAATTTCTTATCGTTATGAATGAATATGTATGAATAGAACGTCAGTAAATGTAATGTTATTGCAACTAACAACTGAGAGAGCAGATCATTCCGTCCAACCCTATTATATTCCTACTCCCATCATAATAAAAAACCTGATTCGCATTATTGAAATGGAAGTTCCAGACTTACATGCTCCTCAACAACAGCATGAACAGCTGCATCTGGTACTATGGGTCTGCCAATAATTGTCTGATTAGCAGAGCCGAGCAATAGAACTTTGTTCAAAATCAACTGCAATGTACAAAAAGAGCAATGGAGTATTCAAATAACTGGCATGATTACTTGATAAGCTGTTGACTCACTTCATATACAAACATTGCAATTACACAAACAAACCAGTTTGTAAACAATTGAAATGGCAAGAAACAGCTGCATATAACAATAATAACACAAGTCATTTCGTACTAGGTATAGCATAACAAACAACTACTTCAACAATAATGTTAATGTCACCGAATCAGATTCATGAAACATCATTCAATCTGATAAATTCAGCTCAACTATCATGCCATCTGGGAGAGGCAATCCCCACTAGTTTGCTAACTTTTTATTTTCATCTAAACCAAATTCCACTACTCTAATATGTTTTATTCCAAATGCTATTTGAAATATACCCATTCTAACATTAAATATTTATATAGCCAAAAACAAATTGTTGAGCTAAGTGCTGAACTGCACGGTTAAAGCTTGACCAGCCTTATTTATTTTTAAGCCATCGAAATCATTTTTACTGAACAAAACATTGAAATGACTTAGCACATGTCATTCTCAACAATAGAAATGTTCCTATAACCTTGGAGGAAGAATACGTAGGGTAATTCCTAACATGCAACATCTCAACTCCCCCCCCCCCCAACAGACACACACTAGCAATAATCTCATTCATCAAAACCAATCTATTAGTATTACACATAAAAGAGTCAGGAACTTCTAGCAAAAGAGACTCACCTTGTCATTCACTTCACAAAACTTCAATCTTTCAGTGAAAATGCTGTCTCTATTGCTTACTTTAAACTGGTGCGAACCAATCTGAACCAAGAAAAACACAAACAATCACTAAAATGGAAATCTGGTTCTCTTTCTGCTTCTCCGTTTTAAAAACTATTTTCTAATCACAAATTCATGCTACTCGCTAATTAATTTCTCAATCAAAATCCATCGAGTTTTTAAAATTGCTTTCTATGAAAATGCATTAAAAAGAAAAAAAAAGAAACAAATCAAAGAAGTTTTCTCATTTCCTTACTTGTAACATTCAGATGAATCGAAACTACTTCCTTTCCTTGTTTTATCCTCAAACATGGTAGCTCACGAGGACAAAAGAAAGTGGAAACTGACGTTGGGATTATGCAACATAGTAGCATGTTTGTATCCCAATTGTAACTTCGATAGCATTTATTCCAATGCAGTGTTACTATTCAAGTAACGAGTGAGATCATTTTGCAAACATGATTGAAGCTGGTGAACGATAACTTGAACGTGGGTTGTATGAAATAGTATTATTATTTTATTAAAACTTCTTGAAATGTTGTAAATTTAATTTAATGACATGGCTAGGCCTAATGAAACGAGTCTAACTAAAACTTAAAAAAGAAAAATGCAGGACACACACTGTCTGCATTCCTAAAAATGGCTGCAATCTTCATTCTAGAAATCGGTCTAAAATTGGAGCAATTTGAACAGTGTGTATTGAAGAGAATCAAACGAAATTTAAAAAAAAAATCATAAAACTAAAATTTAATTTTAAAAGGAGTAATCGAATCGAACAAACTCCGAAACCGTACAATGACAGAAAGTTTGAAATGTTGAACCTGAACAACAGCGAAAACAGGTTCGTAGGGCTTAAAAACGTCATCGTCCTTTGGAAGGGGACCAACCACTCTGTAGCCAATAGCATCCGCTTCTGCCTCCTTCTCCTCCGCTGTGTACACTTTTTTCCGACTGGATACAGGGACATCATCGTCGTCATCATCATCTTCATAGTCTTCTTCTTCACTATAATCTTCTTCATCACTGTGATCGTCTTGTTTGTCGGAAGAAAAATATCGTAGGTGGGGCCATTGTGCAAAAACAGAGGTGGGTTTGGTGAAAACGGGTGAAGAAGCTTTGGCGAGGTGAAATGGGGGTATAGTGAGAGAGCGCAGAGAAGATAGGTTTCTGAAGAGAAACGGTGTCGTTTTCGTTAACGTTTGCAGACACCTCCTACTCGCCATGGTTGCTGGTGTTGTAGTGTCTGAAACTAGGTTTCGTTTTGAGCTCACACGTTGGAATCACCTGCACACACATGGGCCTACCTCAGCCCAACAAACAAAACATGATGCTACAAACCCATGATTAGCTTTTTCCACGTTTGGACATTCGGGCCCAAGTAATTTGAGCTCATAAAATAAAAAAAACTTAAGTTTTGAGGAGCATCATGACGAAGGGTAATTTTATTTTATTATAATTTATACTGTTGTAAGAATTTAATAGACTTCAATATAAATAAAAATAATTAAATTGCATTAAATATTTATAATTATTATTTATTCAAAATTGATATGATAATATGTCTACCAAGGTAAAGGGTGTTTAGTATATGAAAAAATATATAGTTTCACAAAAATGAGAATCTTAAAATATATATATATATATATATATATATATATATATATATATTATTTTCATAAATTTCTTTATGGAAAACGTAAATGTATACATGAGATGTCATCGTGAAGTTTTTATTATTAAAAAAAACTGATATTTTATTATAAATAATTAAGATTTAATTTAGGATAAAATATATTTTTTACTTTATTTAAAAATAGTGCTTTTAAGTCTCTTTATTTATTAATCGCTTTTATTTCTTTTAAGAAATAAGAGAAAAGATAAAGTTCATGAATAAACTGGTGTCGTTTTAATGTGATGCGAGATATCAGTTCTGAGTTTAGTTATCTTTGAACTCAATATAATTTTTTATTTATTTAAATGTTGTAAACAAACATTAACTAAAAAAAATAAGATAATTATGATAAATATGTGTGTTAATTATTATAATTATAAGTATTTTGATAGATTTTCATATAATATTAATTTTTGTTGAGTTTTTAATTGTTATTGTTAAAAAATTAGTTAATTTTATGATAGGTACATTAATGTATAATATGATCGTCACCCCCGAAATAATGAAGAAGAAAAGGAGAACCTAGAGAGTGAGGGGTCGTACAACCAATTAAGGGGAGTAATCAATAACATAAACGAAGGGTTCGTAAGAAGAGATTCTTCCAATGCTACTAGGAAAAGATACTAGAGAAATGTAAACGTCGCGACAACACAAAGACATGTCATGTCGACCATTACTTTTATAAATGATGACTATCATGTTGTAAAGGTGGTCCAAGATGATCCAATTGTCATAACAGTAGAAATTGTCAACTTCGTGGTCCGCACGACGTTGATAGATCACGGGAGCTTGGTCGATATACTATACTGGATAACTTTCTAGAAACTTCAACTGGCAGACGACTTTATACTCCCCTATTACAAGCAAATAATTAGATTTTATAGGAAAAGGGTAGATACAAAAGGATACATCGACCTTTACACTAAGTTTGGTGAGGGAGGTTGAGACTATCGCACTATCAAAATAAGATATTTAGTGGTTGACACACGCTCTTCATACAACATTCTCCTCGGTTGGCCATCTTTGAATATCCTCGGGGTCATAGTGTCTACACCCCATTTAGCAATGAAGTTACTGACCAACACCGGGACGATAGTCACCATGTACGACGACCAAATGACGACTCGAGAATGTTATGTCACAAGCTTAAAACTCTCACCACCACCAAACGCACGGGCCAACACCTCGTCTTGGGCGGTGACAATAATAGACCTAGACTCCCACACAGGTGAGGATACACGAGTGGAGCCTAGAGAGGAAACTATTCTTGTTCAAGTAAGGAATAAAGAACAAAACACTTACATGGGGACAAAATAGGAGGAAGAAGACGCCCAGATAGTAAGACAAGTGTCGGTTGAAAATGTCAACCTATTTACATGGACAACCACCTACATGTCGAGCATTGACCCCGGTATATCTCCTACTGTCTCGTCGTATGCCGCGAAACAAAGTCAATCGCTTAAAGGAAGCGAAGGATGTGAGAAGTGCATCGGTAGGTAGTGCGAGAAGAAGTGGGCAAGTTGCTCAAGGTCAGGTTCATCTAGGAAGCTCAATATACGACATGGTTGGCGAATGTAGTACTAGTAAAGAAGTCAAATGGGAAATGGCGCATGTGCACCGATTATACAAATCTCAACAAAGCATGCCCGGAAAACTTGTACCCATTGTCGAACATTGGTCGACTGGTCGACCACCAAGTGCTCAGTTTTTCTAGATGCCTACTCATGCTACAACCAAATACCTATGCATAAGGAGGACAAATTAAAAATGACCTGCATGACTAAATCTGCAAATTTCTACTATGAGGTCATGTCGTTCGGATTAAAGAACACTAGAGCTACTTACCAATGACTAATGGACAAAATATTCCAAAGGCAAATTAGTCGTAACATGGAAATCTATGTGGATGATATGGTGGTGAAGTCTAATAGCGGTTAACACATGTCTAAAATTTGCAGGAGGTGTTTCAGGTACTAAGATCATTTAACATGAGGTTGAATCTGGAAAAATGCATGTTCGGGGTCGAGGGTGGAAAATTACTGGGATTAATGCTCACGCACAAAGGAATAGAGTCAAACCCCAACAAGTGTCAAGCTATTATCACATTAAGAAGCCCTAAAAATGTAAAGAAAGTCCAAAGTTTGGTCGGACGAATCACAGTCATGGCACATTTCCTCTCAAAGCTAGCCGATAAGGTACAACCTATTACTACAAAAAAAACGCTTATTATCTACGGGTAAAATCCGTAGGTAATGCACTCACCTTAACAAAACAAAATATTTTTATTTATTACAACCCCTCCCCTTTATATTATATTTTTATTATTTATTATATTTTCGAAACTTTGAATTATTATTAGATTAAGGAAATTGTCATTGGCAGGATTCGAACCCAAGACTTCGAGTTGGAGACCGATACTCCAACCACTAAGCTATTAGGATATTTTGAAAATAATTTACAAATAAATTATATTTATATTTATCCGTCTAAATATATAAATATAAAATATATATAAATATAAAATATATATAAATATAAAATATATATAAATATAAAATATATAAATATAAAATATATAAATATAAAATATATAAATATAAAATATATTATATTTTGATATATTTATATATTTATATATTTATATATTTATATATTTATACATTTATATATTTGTATTTATATATTTATATTTATATATTTATGTATTTATATATTTATGTATTTATATATTTATATATTTATCTATTTATATATTTATGTATTTATGTATTCATATATTTATGTATTTATATATTTATGTATTTATGTATTTATATATTTATGTATTTATATATTTATGTATTTATATATTTATGTATTTATATATTTAAATATTTAAATATTTAAATATTTAAATATTTAAATATTTAAATATTTAAATATTTAAATATTTAAATATTTATATATTTATATATTTAAATATTTATATATTTAAATATTTATGTATTTATGTATTTATGTATTTATATATTTATATATTTATATATTTATATATTTATATATTTGTATATTTATATATTTGTATATTTATATATTTGTATATTTATATATTTGTATATTTATATATTTATATATTTTATATTTATATATTTTATATTTATATATTTATATATTTTATATTTATATATTTTATATTTATATATTTTATATTTATATATTTTATATTTATATATTTACGAATTAATATAAGTATAATTTAGTTGTAAATTATTATTAGAATATCTTAATAGTTTAGTGGTTGAAGTATCAGTTTTCAACTTTAAGGTACTGGGTTCGATTCTTGCTAGTGACAATTCTTTTAGTTTAATATAATTTACCTACGGATAGTAATTCCGTAGGTAATTACCTACGGAATTACCCACGGATGATATTACCTACGGATAGTAATTACGTAGGTAATTACCTACGGAATTATCCACGTATTACATTACCTACGGATAATATCCGTAGGTACTGGATAATTACCTACGGATAGAATTCCGTAGGTAATGTACAATTTACCTACGGATTTTCATCCGTGGATAATATCCGTAGGTAATGTAAAATTTACCTACGGATTTTTATCCGTGGGTAATATCCGTAGGTAATGTAAAATTTAACTACGGATTTGTATCCATAGGTAATATTCCGTAGGTAATAGGGTTTTTTTTTGTAGTGTATATTGAAGGTGATAAAGAAGGCTAGAAAGTTCACATGGGATGAAGCAGTGGAGGGGGCTTTCAATAAGCTAGAAGAATACCTAGCATCTCCACCAAGAGACCGAGAAAGTTATTACTATTGTACCTCGTCGTGTCCAAGGAGGCTATAAGCGCAGTTCTTATCCAAGAGAATGAAAAAGGGCAAGAACTTATCTACTATGTCAGTAAAGTACTTCAAGAGGTGAGGCACGATATCAACAATTTGAGAAAGTAGTGTTATCCTTAGTAACCATGGCATGGCTCCTAAGGTCGTACTTCCAAAGTCACTCGATAGTGGTAAGAATAATTATCCTATAGCCAAAATCTATGGAAAGCAAAGTTGACTGGACGAATGATCGTTTGATCAATTAAGTTGTCAGAACATAACATTAGCTATGAACCTAGGGGAGCCATAAAGGCACAATGCCTAACAAATTTTGTGAACAAAATGACCTCAACAAAACGAACAGGAAAAGCATGATGGATTTTATATGTGGACAGTTCGTCCAAGGTCAAAGGAGGTGGAGCCGACATCGTCCTGGAGGGACCCAGGAAACTCACTCTTGAATAATCTCACCAATAACCAAGTGAAATATGAAGCATTTATAGATAGACTTCGTCTGGCAAAAGATATGGGAGTCGAAAGGGTTGCATGCATGAGTTACTCATAGTTGAGAGTCGGGTAGATGTTAAGAATGTATCAAGTAAAGGACCCACAATTACAAAAATACCATCATTTGGTAGCAAGTTTGTTGGCTGAATTCAAAGAAGTGTGATGAATATATTTTATCAATAATTTTAATAGTATAATTTATATATATTTGGTATATTTTTT